GAAATGATTATAATTAATTAAAATTAATGTAAGAAAATAGTACATTTGATTAATTAAGAAAGTATTAATTACATGATTTAATAATTTAAAGTGATATAGTATTTGTAATAATAAAATATCATCAATTAAACATATATTATTAAATAACATTGTACAAATGGATAAACATGATTTAATAAATGAATCGAATGTGATAAATTAAAATATAAAATAAATATAATAAATGATGAAAAAATGGAGAATAAAATAAAATAGAATAAAATGAAAATAATATTTAATAAAAATGAAATAAGTAGAATCAAAATAAGAATATAAAATAATGAAGTATTCATAGTATTGAATCAAAAAATAATTAATAAAATTGAATATTTCATAAAAGACTAGATATTTAATATAGAATATAAATAAAACAAATATGAATAATAAATGATATAACAATAGTCTGATAAAAAGTAATTTGGCATTTACTAACAAACTTGAAATGAATAGAACTCTCTATAAAAATAAGACAAATTAACAAACTAAAAGGAGTAAAAGTAATTCCAGTAGTAATAAATGGATTAATCAATATAACCATTAAGAATGATAAAAGAATAAGGTAATAATTCTATAAGAAGTAATGATAAAAGATATAATTATTATCAACATAAAAGATATAATAAAATACTAATGATATTATGGAAGTGAATATAGAGAAGTACTTCATGAACAAATTATTCAATAGAAAATGAAGGATATAATCTCATCTGAGTAAAATGAAATAGATAAATTAAGATTTACTGTTTCTTATTTTATTAATTTTTATTTAATTTAATATAATATAATTAATTTTTTATTTTATTTTAATTTTTTCAATTTTCTTAAATTAGAAATTAATTTTAATTTTTTCTTTTTATAATAATTTTTTTATGGTACAATTTGACGATAGTGTGATATCATCATATTAAGCATTAAAAGTAAATTTTATTAAGTTGTTTTATATAACATTTATTTGATATTTTGTTATATTAATATTGTTTTATATAACAAATAGATTATTTTTTAAAAATATAATAATGTTTTAAATAACATATTTAATATTTTTTGATTTATATTTAATGTTTTATATAACATATTAAATAAATAATAAATAATACTATAACTAAATATTATATATCAAATCAAACATAAATTATTTAAAACACCAATTATTTTTTATTACCTCATAACTATTAATCTAAAGTCATAATTCGTTTCAACTCTTTTGCTAATGATGATTTTTATTTTTAATGAAAGGACATTTAAACTTTTTAAAAATCATACTAATATATCAAATGAGTTACAGAAAAACAAAAGACTTAAAGAAAACACTACAGGAAGAAATAAATTTATTGAGAAATACTCGTCGGAATACAAGACAGAAAGAAAGAAGAATACAAGAATTAGAAGAAGAAATAAGAGAAATAGAAGAAAAGAAAGAAGAAAATATTTTTCATGAACATACATCAGAAGTTGAAAGAGAAAGAAACAAGAGAGAAGAAAGAGCAGAAAGAAGAAGAGAACAAAGAAAAGAAAATAATAAAATAAATGTACAAGAAGAAGAAAACAATATAACAGAAAATATAGCAGAAAAAGAAAATATTAAAGAAAAAACACCACTAATATCAATTAATGATAGAATTAACAAGATTAATAAAAGAAATCTATTTCATGAAAATTCCAGTGTTGAAGAATATCAAAGGTCTAAAAGAGAAGAAAGAGCAAGAGAAAGAAAAGAAAAAAGAGAACAAATATTAAATAGAAAGCGACACATTGAAGAAGAACAAGAAGAAGCTGAACAGAATGAACAAGAAATTAATCAAAAAGGAAATTCTAATGATACATCAAATGATGAATTTCCAGAAATATTTGAAAATCAAGACATTGAAAATATTCCAACACCACAAGAGCAAGAAATACTTCAAAGAATTGAAAGAAATCCCAAAAGGTCATATGAATTTTATAAATCAAAATTATTACAAAGCAATGAATATTATGAAAAAAATGAATGGGAAAATATTGTTAATGAAACAAAAAGAGCAGTAAAAATATTAGAGGAAAATAAACAACCATCACAAGTTATAATACACTTTGGAAATGGACATGTTATAGTTAAACGAGTATTTATGATAAATATGGAAAATGTTAATATTGAAGAATTTATAGGAAAGTTAATTAATTATGATGAAGATATTAGTGAATTTTGGAAACGATATGATGATGAGGACAATCCACCAATCCCACCAGGATTACTTGTAAGACAAATTATTGTAAAAAAGTTAGGAGAAGTAGAAAGAAAAAGGATAGAAGGAGGATTTTTTGGATATTATTTAAAAGAAGAATGGGAATGCATAGCATCAATATTTGAAAAATATCAAATTTATACAAAAAATACTATTCACCTTAGCGAAAATTGTTTTGTTAATTGTTTAAAAGAATCAGGAGTAATTGATGAAATAACCCTTGAAACAATTAGAAGTATAATAAAAGGACAAACAATTAGCAAAAAGAACATTAAAAAGATATGTGAAAAATATGGAATTAGAGTTGAATTAAAATATTATAGAGATAAAGAAGAAAAAGTTATTAAAAAAGAAATAATTGGAAGAGAAGGAAATATAATTCGTATGTTTTTATTCAGATGGAAGAATGGACAACATTATATTAATAACGAGAAAATACCAATAACAAAATTTTTCATTAAAAATTTTAAAGAAATAAAGAAATATTGTGAAGAAAACAATAAAAACATTAACAAATATTATTTGACATACGGAAAAATAAATGGATGTTATGAAACATCATTACAAAGACAACTAAAAACATATAGGGCAATACAAATATTAAAAGAAGAAGGAGCATTTGAAGAAATTAGTAAAGAAGATATTATAGCACAACATCTTTATGATGCTGATAAACTTCAAGTTAAACTTACAGAAATTACACCATATGAATATAAAATATGTGAAAGTAAAGAAATAAGAGAAATGGAATATGAGAATGTATTTTATGGAGATTTTGAATGTATGGTAAAAGGAGAACATCATATTCCGTTTTGTGTTGTTGTAATTGATAAGAAAGGAATATGGAATACATTTTATGGACTAAATTGTGGAAAAGAATTTATAGAATATTTATCTAATTTTAAAAATCCAATATGTTATTTTCATAATCTTGGATATGATGGGAGATTCTTGGCACAATATGGAATAATTGGGATTACTAGAAAAGGATCAAATATTTATAATATGGTTATTAAAACATATAGAGGAAAGAAAATAATATTCAAAGATACATTAGGACTTATTCCAACTTCAATAACAAATTTTAAAAGATTCTTTAATTTAGAAGGAGAATATGAAAAAGAAATATTTCCATATAATTATTATGATTATAATACATTAGAAGTAGGAATAATAGAAGGAAGTTGGAATAATGAAACACCAAAATGGGAAGAAAGTAAAATAAAAGAATTTAAAGAAAAGATAAATAAAACAGGATGTTTATTAGATAATGGAAAATTTAATACAAGAAAATATTGTGAATATTATTGTAAAAGAGATGTTGAAGTATTAAGAAAAGGATTTATGAAATTTAAAGAAATGACTAAGAAAAATTTGGAATTAGAATGTGAAGGATTTTCTACAATTAGTGCATTATCATATTATTATTTCAAAACAAAATGTTTTAATGATGGAAGGATTTTTGAATATAGTGGGTGTTTAAGAGATTTTATAAGACAAGCAATTATAGGAGGAAGAAATATGACAAATCAAAATCTTAAATGGAAAGTTAAAGAAGATATAGTAGATTTTGATGCGTGTTCATTATATCCATCAGCAATGAAAAGATTATTAATTCCTACAGGTTATCCTAAAATGATTACACAACCCATTCAATTCATATTTGAACATTTAATGGATGAACAACAAATAATACCAAGTAATGATAAATTCATATCATATTTTGTAGTTCGTATAAAGATTAATAAAGTAGGAAAAATAAGAAAGATGCCTATAATAGTTAAAAAAATAAAAGGAATTAATGAATATGTAAACGAATGTCTGGAAATGGTAGTAGATTCTATTTATTTAGAAGATTTAATAAAATATCAAGAAATAGAATATGAAGTAAAAGAAGGAATATATTGGGAAGGAGAGAAAAGCGATTTATTAAGTAAAGAAATAGAAAATATATACAATATAAGAGCTAATATGAAGAAAGAAAAAGATCCAAATGAAATTATATATAAATTAGTAATGAATAGTTCATATGGTAAAACTATTCAAAAACCAATATTAAAAGAAACAAAATTCTTTAGATCACAGAAGAAATTTGAAACATATTGGGTTAGAAATTATACTGATGTTCTTTATGGAGAACCATTATTTGGGTCAGAAATATGGATTATGGAAATTAAAAAACAAATAGATGATTTTTATGTTCCTGATATTATAGGAGCACTCATTCTATCAATGTCTAAAAGAATTATGAATGAATTAATTTATTTATGTGAAGATAATGGAATAGAAGTATATTATCAAGACACTGATTCTATTCATATTAAGAAAAGAGAATTAAAATTATTAGAAGAAATTTATTATAATAAATATAATAGAATATTAGTAGGTACTCAAATGGGACAATTTCATTCTGATTTTCCTAAAGTAAAAGGAAAAGATAGTTGGGCTAAAGAATCAATATTCTTAGGAAAGAAAGCATATTTAGATATTCTTACGAATGAAGATAATGATGAAGAATATCTTATTAGAATGAAAGGAATACCAGAAGGTGTGATACGAGGAGAAGCTAAAGAAAAATTTGAAGGAGATGTTAAAGCACTTTATGAATATTTATATGAAGGAGGAGCACTTAGTTGTGATCTTTCAAAATATGGACCTCATTTTATTATTGAAAGAGATTTTAAAGTTTCTACAAATAAAAATTTTAAAAGAACAATTAAATTTTAAATGAAATTTGAATCAATTAATTTCTTGTTCATAAGGTGATAAAGATGATAAATTTCTTTTATAATATTCTTTTGTTACTCCATTTTCCATTTCTTTCACTTTATTTATTCTTGATTCATTATAATTATTATTTGTTTGTTTTATTTCTTTTTCTTTATTTAAAATAACATTATTATAAAGTGTTTTTCCATAATTTTGAATAATATCTTTTATTTTCTTTCCTTCACTAATTTCTGTGAGTGCTTTTCCATTTGTTTCATACCATTTTGGTATTCTTTCTATCATATTTCCTATTATTTCACCACCTGGAAGAAATGTTACTATTCCTTTTGAAATAGGTATTAATTTCTTTGTTATATTACCTGTTCTTTTATATAACTTCCCTCCTATTCCTGCTAGTTTCTTTCCTGTTGTTTTAATTATATTCTTTAACTTTTTGAAGAATCCAAATTTCATAACAATCAATTAATAATAAAGAGTTAATTATTTATAGATAATCTTCAATATCATAATCTTCATTATCTTCTTCATTATTCATTTCATTTTCATCACCGTTGAGTCTTTTAGCAAATAAAGCAGATTTAGATGATGCTCCTGTTCTTCCTTTAGTTTTTAATGAAATATGATCAGGTACTTGATTTATTATTTTACTTGCTGTTTTAGTAATATCATTTGGTATTTCATTTTTAACTTGATTTAAATATCTTTTAGTTGCTCCAATAACATTTTCACCTGATGCTATTCTATTTAATGCTTCACTTGTAGGTTCTGCTAATTTATTCATTATTTCTGTTCCTTTTTTAATAATATTTCCACCTGGAATAAAATCTGATGCTATAGAAATAAGTGGTTTTGCTTTTTCTATCATATTTCCACCTAATTTGGCACCAACTGCTAATGCAGCTGCTAATTTCTTTAATCCTTCTTTGAATCTTTTCCAATTACCAAACTTCATAATGAAATAAAAGATTGAACTAATAAATCAAAATAAAGAAGATGAACTATAACGTTACTAAAGCATTAGATCAAGAAGAAACAGGTGACCTTATTAAATACTTTAATTATACAGATGGAATACTTGAAGCTAATTCAGGTGTTCATGATAATAAATGTTTATCAATTGATTCATCTGATCCACCATGTCCTGTACAAAAAGGAATGTATACTAAAGTAAAATTAACAGATGAATCAATTCAAATTACAAATATAGATAAATCATCTATTACAGCATTAGTTAGAATTCAAATTAAACCAACAGAACAATTTTGGACACAAATAAGTGATACACAAGAAGGAGATATTTCAGCATTTCAAACAGGAAGATTAACAGCAATAGAATATTTTGTAGGATTAAAATCATCAACACATTTATTTGATGCATATAGAGTATATTCAAGAAATAAGAAAACAGCATGTGAACAAACAGAAGCATTATATGAAAATGCAGCTATTAGAATGTTAAAAGCACAAGAAGAATTAGATTATAAACCAGGAATTTATACACAATGGGAATCAGCATATAATCATGAAGATAATGTATGTGGATGTTATTTTAATCTTCAAGAAATTATTAAATCACCAAACAATACAATTGAAAAAGAATTTGAAGTAATTATTCCAATAGATGATTTATTACCATTTGCTGCCATGAAAATGTTTCCTAATGCATTATTTGGAAATTTAACACTTGAAGTTAAAATGGCAATTCAACAAAATTTTGTTATTTGTCAATGTAATCAAGGTGTTATTGCAAATAAAATTACCAAACAAATAAATTCACCAGTTAAAGGAAATTCATTAGTAGTTACAATTGGACTTGATCAAATGAAAGAACGTGATTATTATGGTGTATTAAATAGTAATCATGAAAATTGTTCATTTACACAAATTGGAGATACATTTATTACATCAATAATGTCATTACAGAAAGATAATAATCACGAATTAGGTGTTCTCACACCAAAAAATATCAAAAGTTGTTTTACTATCACAGATGGAAGTTTAAGATATTGTAGAACAAATATTAATGGATTTAATATTAAAGATAGTATATTAAATGAATTAACAACAAAATATTCATCAAAAGAATTAATTATTCCTTCTCAATATGTTGATTATCAAGCATTTTCACAAAAACCATTAAGTAATGGTTTAAAATGTAATACTACTTATGCTATGACAAATGTAAGTTCTTTAATGTTTTTATTTCCTAGAACATCAAATGAAGTAACATGTAGTAGAAATCCTTTATTTGCTTCTTTACAAATGCAAATTGATAATAAACCTTATCCTGATAAACCATTTTCTACTGTAGAAAAATCACATACTATTTATAATATTACTAATGCTGGTTTAGATAATTTATTCTCTCCTTCAAAAGAATTTGCTTATTCATTAGAATGTAATGAACTTGATTCATCATTTGTAAATAATTATAATCCTGAAATACAATATGCACTTCCTCTTAAAGATAATACATCATATTGTTTCTTATGTAGTACTGAAAGATTAAGTGGTTATGGTACATTTTGTGATGGAATTACTAAAGATAATGCTCATGTAACACTCACAGCTACTCTATTACCATTTAAACAACTTCATCCATATTTGAAAAATCCATGGACTGAAGAATCAAATGACAGATGTCCAATTATGCTTGTATGTCAAGATTGTTTCTGGAGATGTACATTACAAGGTGGATGTGAATATATTTGTAATAACAAATATTTTGTTAAAGAAAAAACAGGAACAGATTAAATTAAAATTAATTCATTTCTTTCTTAAATTATTCATTTCTTTATTTCGTCATCATTCCAAACATCAAATGGTGTTTTTGAATTAATATAATAAATAAAACTTTGATTTGGTGATGATTGAACTATATCAACTGCATTTTTATATGTAAGTGTTCCATCATTATAATTTAACATATATACTCCAACAGTACTAACATATTCTTTAGTGGTGAATATCATATATCCATTACTATAATATTCACCATAATCAGCTAATTTTTCAATATTAGTTGAATTTCCTGAATCAATTCTATTTGAATTAAAGTAAATTTTTGTTTTCTTTGTTGAATATGAATCAGTATTTGGTATAAACATAAATTGAAAGATATACATTTTATGGTCTGTACTTGTATTTTTAAAAGTTTTTGATGAATCAGTTCCCCATGACATTAATGTTGATAAAGGAAATGTGTATGTATTATGTTTCAGATCTTTAATTCCAATTGTGTTAATTATATCCAATTGTGTAATGGTTGTATTTCTTGATATTTCAGTGTTAATATAAGATGTTAAAGAAGTCATTTTTAATAATGATTCTTCATTAGAATAAAGTGGTGAATATAATGATTCATTAACAAGAGAAGATAAAGATATTAATTGAGATGTTAAATTATTAATTTCATTCATATTTGTTGTATTTAATGTTATTAATTGTGATACATCATCTCTAATATCATCAATATATATATTTGTTTCTTTCATTTTCTCTTTTATTTCATCAATTTCATTATTTGATAGAATATCTTTAACATTAATTGTTGTCATTCCATCTGATGATTTAATTGTATCAAGATAAATTGTATTATTATTAAAATATCTTGTTGTTAAAATATTATTTTTATTTAAATATTTTGAACCAATTGCTTCCATTTAATAATGTAAATTAAGTTCTAAGATAAAATATTCATCCCAAATTCCAAGTGGCATAATAATATTTCCTTTATAATCTTTAAACCATATTTCTATTGAAGTTATATTTTTATTAATATTAAAATGTTTTGGTGTCATATTTCCATATGTTGAAAAACATATCATTTGATCATTTTCAGGTGAATCATAATTAAATGAACCATGACAACTAACACCAATATCTAATTGACCATTCAAATTAAAATAAACAAAATTCAATACTTCTATTGTTTTAGGATAATTTTCAGAAGTAATAAATTCCCATGGTAAATTCACTTTCCATTTCCCTGTTGTTATATTTGGAGATGTATTT